GACGTGGTGAGGCTCTGCTGGTCGCCTACCCATCCTGTTGTTGGGTTGATGGTGGTGCAGTTTTGTTTCTTCTTCGGCTAAAGTTCGGATGATATGGATGCATTGCTCTATAGGGCGAATATTTCTGAATCACCACTATCATTGGACGACACACACCATTGGGGAAACAAAAACGTCCTAACTATTGCAGATAACCGCCTTTTTCGTGAACGATGTAAAAAGAAGTGAAATGAGGGCAAAAGTTCACGTAAAAGAAGGATGTCCTCTCAGCATTCCCAGCCTCAGGTGTATCTATTAAATGGGTTGCTTAGGAATGGATCTTGGCAGCATTTTTTTTCCTTTATACTTGACGCAATTGGAAACCTTTGTGGAAGCGAATTTAACTGAGGAGTTGTTGAGAGCGTTCAGTATTTTTCTGGGTCTCATCGACACCTCAAGGTCGCCTTGAATTCTCCGCAACTCTTCCGTCGTTCATCACCAGCGGGATTGACCTCATTTGAGATTCGGCTGGCGTCAAAAGTCTGAGCTGCAGCCGTCGATAAGGTATTCAGGGCCGATGCTGGACTTGGCCCGAGTTTTAGCGAACGGGATCTTAATGACAGTTTGATGTGGTGCGGCCCCTCCCTTAGGGCTGAAAAGATTGAGTAGGTCTACAGGGTTTCTTAAGTTTGCCAGCATCTAAAAGTTTGATGTTGAAAGAGCCTTGAATATGCATGACATAACCGAGCTTCATGAACGATATAAGAATATTGTTTGTTTGTTTTGTTGGGTTAGGCCCTTTCGGTCGACAAGACCATTGCAGAGCCGGAAGGATGATAGGATTTAGGGGGAGACATTGGTCTGGGCAGGCACCCTAGTGAGTCGCCGGGGCTGAGCCCGTCCAGAGGACAGGCCACCCAGCCCCAAGGCACTCACTGCACCCGGCTACGGGGTGCGCTCCCTCAGGAGCAGCGGTGCCGCTCCAAGGGAGCAGCCCGCATGAGATAAAGTTGCCTGTCCAGCCCGGAGGGGGGTGCAGCGTGGAGGAGAAGGATTTCAGTATCCTGAGGATAGAAGCATGGAACGGTGTGTAAGAATATTGTTTCGGATTCGTAGGACATATTGGCTATTATTTACTCTTTGTTCACGTTTTGTAGTGATGCTCGTTTTTTAACAGGAAGTGGTGATGGTTATCGAATAAATCATACACAAACTTTTCTGCAATAGTTACACTTATGCCATCAAGCAGTTACACTCTTGGTTACACTACTATAAAGTCATAAAAGATGGATAGCGTTGTAACCGATTCGGCAGCAAGTTAATCGTGACTTGGCAATCCGTCATAATTCTCTGCTTGCGGGATTGGTGGCTAAGTGCGGACGTTCTGGACCTCCGACTCACCTCCGGTCTAGTTTGTATCGCCTCCCCGGCGGCGCTGCGGTGGCGGCGGTGGCGGCGGTGGCGACTGTGTCATTACAGTTCGGTCGGGTCATCTATTGTGGTGACCCCGCGGGGCGACACGCAGTATTCAATCCGTCAGGCGGCCCTGTCAGCCGCCCGGTCCTCTTATCGTCCGCGCCGCGTTCCCCGCCGCTGCGCCGAGACTGTCCTCCGCGCCGCGTTCGTCTCGCTGACAATCCCGACGCGTCCCTTGGCCGGCGGCAGATGAGAAGCTGTCCGCCTGTCGCAGGGGCGGGCCAGTTCCTGATTTGATTTGCTTCGTGGCTAATAAAAAAGCGGCCAGCTTTGCCGCCGGGTTGAACTATTAAACGGAGTCCTTTATTAAGTGATTAAAGGAGAGATTTAGACAGTTCCTCGGACTCGAAATGCCCGGTTCCATCTGCGTAATAGTGGTGTTCTTTAGAGGGTAAGCAGCGTGAACCGTTAGTAGCTCACGAAGCGGACCTGGGACCAGCTCCCTTCTTTATGGGAGGCGGCCGCGATTACAGGGCCGCAGGAGCCGCCAGTGTTCATTTTGGGTCTGATAGCGAGGCCGATGGTCAGGCCGCTCAGGCCGACTAAATGCGTCTGATGGGATTGGTCGTTACGGTCAGTGATGTCGCCCAGGTGGGGTCAAGGGTCATCAAATATGCTGTGAATACTGGCTTTGGCCACCGTGCGCATACAATGGTGCTGTTTTCTAAGAAGAGAAAACATAAAGTGAAGAGTCATGAAGTGCATGATTATGTGCATTTGCAAGGCTGCATGTTTCCATTCATTTGGAGTGAGTTTTTTATAACATTGACTATGACTCTAACTATATTTTCTCTCAGGCAGATGCAGCCCATGTAGCGTTTTAATCCGCTCTGCTCCCAAGTGACCCAGATGAAAGGCTGCCGCGCTTCAATTCATCCAGGCGTGAATGGACTTTGATATTGGCACGCGCCCCCTCGGGGAAAAAAACGGATCACGATTTCCACCGCGGCTGAATATGGGCGATCGTGTCAGAATTCGACAGCGTATTCGAGCCGTCACGACACCATTAAGATTGGGCTTTGATTAGAGCCCATTACCAATGCATGGTGCAAAAGGCGTGACTTTCAATTAAGCTGTCCTATTGGTTCATAAAAACAGTCCCGGAGGATGACAATATGGAACAGAGGACAAGCCTGTCAGAATATTTTGACAAGGTTATGCGCTTCTGAGGTTGACCTCACCAAGTCTGTGACCTTCTAATTATGGCACACATGATTACCTTAATTTGATAGGTATTTGATAATACCAGTCACCCAGAAAATCTGAAGATGCTATCAAGTCATTTGTATTCGTCGGGCGCCCGCAGATGAAAAGATACGCATATAGAGCGGTTGTGTTTCCAAAGAAAGCTTAGCAAAAGCAAGATCCATATACATACATTTCACAGAAGTTAGACCTTACATGGTCAGTTTTTATTGAATCGTGTTTTCCGAAGCAGCAAAATTAAATGTGCCATTATAATCGTGTTAGCTTTAAAATAACACCACCAGCTTCCCTGTGCTCTTGTAACACCTTAATTTCGTAAACCAGGGAACAAAACTCAGGCAGTCTTATAGTTTATTTGCTCTCTAGTTTTCCGAAGCAGCAAAATTAAATGTGCCATTATAATCGTGTTAGCTTTAAAATAACACCACCAGCTTCCCTGTGCTCTTGTAACACCTTTATTTCGTAAACCAGGGAACAAAACTCAGGCAGTCTTATAGTTTATTTGCTCTCCGTCCGGAAGTACGAGTAAGCTGCGTCTGTCGACGGTTCTCCCTGCAGTTCCCAGCACACGTGTGGGCCACAGGACCCTGACGGGGTCATTGAGGCCACTAAATGGTCATCTGTCACCCCTGAGAACCACTAACCTCGGCCCGCCGCTCGTCCTCAGCATGTGGAAGCCGAGAGCAGCATATGGAAGCAATCCGCGCGGCAGTCGCACGGAGGCTGGAGCAGATGATGAGGACAATCGAGGGCCAAATGGTGGCCCTCGGAGCAGATGGAAATAATCCTGCTCTGCTCACATCCCACCCTTCTCCAGCGGCGTATGTGGCGTCTGCTCCGTCGGTTCCGTCTTTCCCACCCACTTTATCCAGCTCAGAACTTCTCTGGCCTCCGGGAATCGCTGTTGCATCTCTTTCAGTCAACAAGTCTCGTTTACGCTTTGCAATGTGATGCAAATTTGCAGCCCTCAGAGTCAGAGTTCAGTTTAAATATGTTAATAGCATAACGCCAATCATGTTTGATGTATTTAAGCTCACGTCTGTTAGACCGCCACGTCTTATGCTGAAAAGCAAGGGAAACGAGCTTGTATGTCCCGAAAATTAGCTGGTTCAAGAATTTGCATGTTTTCAAGCACATTTTACTTGGTGATGGAATTGTAATTTGCGAAAAATTGAAGTGTGTTTTCACAGCCAACCATCCCGTTCTGTTCCATCTCATTTAGTCCTGCCTCTGTCCCCTTCCGTGCACTCCTGTCCCTCCCCGTCTCGCCTGTATCCGGGACACCGTACCGCCGCCGGTCCCGTTCTGTCCCTCCGGCGGCCAGTCCAGACGGCGATGCGTCTTGCCTCTCGGCGGGGGGCCGGCAGGCGCCCACAGAGCGTTGTCCGTCCTCAGACCGGAGCCGACCCGAAGCGCTGACCTGGCCCGACATGTGACCAGACCGGCTATTTCGGGAGTTGTGCTGATCACGAGCCCAGGCGGCGCCGCCGGTGCGTCCCTTCCTCGGCGCCGGCAGCCGGCCAAGGCGAGCGTCATCGGCTGAGAGGTGTGAACAGGTCGTCCCCCCGCGAGGAACGCGGACGTGACAGCAGCCGAGGTCACGTGTTGGCCCATGTGGCCGGTAGGAGTCGCCGCCGAACTGGCTAAATTTGCCGGTGGGCGCCGATTTTTACGTTTATTTATTTACGGTGTGAAGGACGCTTCTACGCAGAAGAGGCGGCGGGTCTTGACAAGCCGACCCGACCCGTCACCCAGATAACAGGAGGCCGAAGGACTGTGAGAGCTTTTAGTGCTGTCGTCTTCACATTTTGAGCAAATATTCCCTTAGTTGAGTAATTAGTAGGTAGTAATAAACATGAAATATTTTTGATAAAAAAATAAGTAAACACTGTTTACATGCAGCAGTGATTAGAATAATTCGTCATACTCAAAATAATGACGATCTTATACCTACATCAGTCACTTTTATATTTACTATCCTCACCAAACGGTAGATACCCATAATGACACTCTAAGGCAGGACTAGGGTCCTCTCCTGACAGCGGCGATTACGAAAGGCCAAACGGTGCGCCGAACAGTTGGCGAAACCCATTACCTCGGCAGCCTGGGACACACCTCACCGGCGTCAGAAACCACCAAAAGGGCTTGTTGGGGGACGGCTAGCACTCTTGTCGGAAAGCCCCCACATTAATCTCGCCGAGGGCCTTGGAGGGCGAGATGGATGGCCGTAGTAACAGGGGCGGTGGCCGGCTCGTTTCGGAAATGTCCTGGTCAGATTGTACCAATGACGTCATTTGTCTTGGAAGGTTGTAAAAAAGTGTTAAGGTAAATATGTGAGGGCTGAGGAATATTCAGTGCGGTAGAATAATGTAAAGGCGAAAGAGAGCGGACCACAACAGTGTGTGCCTTCTTCAAAAGCAGCGTCGAGGTCCGATAGAAGCCTCATCGCTTCTAAAGCGTGGTAAGTGCGTCAGGGTCAATCAATTATTTTTATAATACAGTGGTTCACTCGACCTCACCAATCAAGGGTACAAAAGGCGTGGCACAAATTACCGGCACCCATATAGTTCCCAATCTGAAAGGGCTTCTGCCTTTAGCCGGGGGCATGGTGTCTAGGCATTACCTCAGCGAACGGACCTGTCCCTGGCTTACAACTGAATCGAACAGTCCGTACTATCGACTCTAATCGTGGGAGAGCTGATCGGAACCGGCCTACCCGGCGCCCGCCGCACACTGTCCCATTCGGCCGGCGGAAGTGCAAATAATAGTCCCATCTCGAGCGATGAGCTAATAGGTCAGAGGCCGGGCGTCATTTTTCATACGGCGCTAACCGGCCTGGCGAGGGGTGAGTTATTGTTATTTGATGCGTCGTGCTGGAGGGTGTGGTGGCGCGCTGCGGGAGTTTTGGCGCGGACAGCAGTCTGCTCAGTCTGGGGCACTGGGACACTGTGTGTGGGACTGGGACAACACACTGGCGGCGGGAGCTGTGGGCGTGGGAAAATGTCAACAGAGCCCATTCGAGGCAAATCACAGTGAGGTTGTAGAAATGATAATTTATTTTATAGAGACATCATATTCAAGGAATGAGATGTAAGTGTCCGAGAAAGAAACTAACTTTCCTTCTAAACAATGCCCATAAAAGACTTGAGTGTGATTTTTAATGAAATGCATATCAAATTACTTTTTATCATGTCACCCTGCACGCACATACAGGTGACAAGCAAAGTCATGTGGCTAAATTATGTAACAGAATGGGATATATCTTACCATTTCAAATAATTCGAAAACCTGCATTTGCACAACTCCGAGGGAAGAAGACAAAGGCTTCTGGTTGTTGATCAATCCCGCAAAAAAAAACATGTACGGCGCACGCTGGTATAAAACAATGGTGCGACAAAAAACGCCGACAGGAAGCTAATAAAAGGGGATCGATGTCGCCATTGTGTAGTTTTTGCCGCTCTCTGTTTCACTTGTGGTTTACAAGTGAAATGTTTAGCCCTCGCCCGCACATGCCATTTTCCCATCCTAGAACGCACATGGGGGGGGGGGGTGGTTGCCACCCCCCCCCCGCGCCATTTCGTTCCTGTTGGAGATAGAGCTTAGCAGTAAAGACCAAAAAGATTCTTTGGGAAGAGACAAATCCAATGATACCCAGTTTTACCTTCTCAGGTCAGTCATTGACCTTCCAGGTCAGGTCAAACTAAAAAATGTTGCTGTTTTTGGGTCACCGTTGGATATTAAGTGCGCTGCTTATCAAATACCGATGACGATGCTGTTTTCTGGTGCCAAGCCAGCTAGAACCTCTTTGTCACACTATCCGACCAGAATTTTGCTGCTGAGGTCATTTCAGGTCAAGTTAGGTCAAGGTCAATTACATGTGTTTGTATGTCTGTGTGTGTCTGTGTGTATACTGATGTGTGCACCGATTGTTTTTGGGTCCATATCACATGAAATCATGATCTGAGAAGCTTTTACCAAAAATGCAGTCAAAAAACTTCACAAAAAGTAAATTCAGCTTGCCTAAAACGCAATTATCTTAGATGACCTAGGTTGACCTTGACCCTGACCTTGACCCCTGTACATCGTCGAACAACATGTTCCATGATAGGTGGGAGGTAAGACTGGTAAACAAGGCCGAAATCAGGGTGTCAAAAGCTCACAAGGCCCATGGCAAACGCAAGATGTTGAGAATTGGCCATTTGGGTCATGACATGACCTGAAAAACAAGGTCATATCTCCGAAACCAAAAATCACAGAAACTTGAAATTTTCAGTGAACATCAAGAAAGGATAGAGGAGCAGCTATACGAAAAATCAGCCTTCTAGCTCTAAAAATGTTGAGTGCAGAGCAGAAAGACTGCCTGGGGGGGGTGGCAACCACCCCCCATGTGCGGGCGAGGGTTAAAAGGATAGGAACAGTTGCTACAATGTATGTTCGTATACGGTTTGTTTGCAAATTTTCCCCAAGAAAAACTCACCAGTGAGAAGTGTACACTCAATATGGCCGAAGGTGGGTTCTGTAATATTCTATTTCAAAACATTAAACATGTATAATGATCATTGCGCTTTACTTCGACTGCTAGAACATGCACACATCTAATGAGAAATCTTCTAGATTCAGCCGTTGCTAAACACCCATAAAAAATCACAATGTTTTGGTAGGAATTTCGTTCAATAGGCCATCACTTCTCACATTGTCGTCTGTCAATGGGGACACTCTGCTCTGGGTTAGCGACACAAACACGCCCTCTGGCCTCGTCTCACAGATAGCTTCCTATCTGGCAGCAAACACCCAGCGCCTCGCGGACCGCTTCAGGCGACCGAGCCGCCGCGGTCACACGATAAACATGTTTTCTTTCCCGAACTGCGCTCCCACAGAGTCGGCGACCAAATGGGAAACAGAAGAGAGTCGCCCGTGTTGACTAAACACCGCAGGAGGGACAGTGACCCACCTGGTGACACAGTCAACAATCTATTTATCTGACTGACAAATGAGTGGGCTTTAAAGTCGCAAGCGTTTATGCAAGTACGGGGAGGAGAGAGAGGGGGAGAGAGAGAGAGAGAGAGAGAGAGAGAGAGAGAGAGAGAGAGAGAGAGAGAGAGAGAGAGAGAGAGAGAGAGAGAGAGAGAGAGAAGAGAGGAGAGAGAGAGTCTTTTTGAAAATCAGGGAAGTGACGTGACGTTCACATTTCCCATTTGGTAAAGCCATTAATTTGGCAGGCTGTGCAGATTGGTCAGCAGTTTCCAGCACGGAACCGCTTTAGCGATATTGTAATATTATTATTTACAGCGATAATTCACTTTGATTTGATGGACCATAACTCAGCGACCTGTGTGACGAAACAGAACAGTTCCAATACACTTGGTACAGTGTACAGCTCATGTTTTCAGCTTTTTGTACCTGTTGGCTAAGTGTTATTCTAAAGTGACCCCAAAACGGCATGTCTAGATCAATTTGATCTGTCTTGACACTTGCGGGCCTGGACTAATGAACAATCAGTTTCTCATGGAGCGTTTTTATACCAAGTTATAAATGGACCAGGGTTCATTGAGGACATGGTTCCCAAAACTGCAGCGGGTAGGGTGTAATACGAGCTCGAAGTCTGGGACGTCTGTCTGACACTGTTTTGATTGGGTCAGCGGTCAGGGTGAGTTCAGGTGTGACTATGTCATCGCCTCCCCTGGGGATGTCAAACTAGGCATATTTCAGCTGTTCCCTACAGATGACTGATGATTTTACAGAGACGATCTGACCGAGATTCATTGTGGCTTCATGTTTTGGTAAAGTTCATCCTTCTCGTCTCACGAATATCTGGCTTCAGAGGCAAAAAAGGGGTCTGTTTATAGGGTGAGGTTTGTCCAAGTTCACCCGGACAATCTAAATGAAAGGCGATATAGGAGATGACTGCTGACAACATTGTTCACTCAGCACGTTGATGTTTTTTTGCGCAGCTCAACATCAAAATGAATCAAGAACACAAATGAGAAACTGGGTACCCGGTTTACTTGTATTCACCAAAAAATAAACAGCAAAATGGTACACGTATTGAACGTTGTTAATTAATAATGAGCACGATAGTGAGTGAGCTGTGTAGCTCCAGTCAACAATAGTATCCAGCATTTCACCCGTCTTGTTTGCAAAGCAGAAACATTTATAGTATCATAGTTATTTCAGTCGCGACCGTCTATCGCTTCCAGATCTCCAGTCGCTGCTGTCTGATCGCTGTCATCGCCGATGAATAACGAGCTATTCTCTCCGCCAGACATAGTTCAGAGATGACGTCACATCGGAATGTTATCCAAGTCCAGGGCTTCCGAAAAAGGCGACCTTCGCCCACAAGAAGATAATGCTCACTTTTATCTGCTCGACTCTTGGGCTCGCGCTATTCTCTGTACATGACTAATCGCGTGGGTTTGCATTGTTCTTAATTCACGCATGAATTGTAACAAGGGCGCTGAGATGACAAGGGATGTGCTGATGACAAGTGACAATCTGCTGTCACTAGGCAGGACTACATAGTTTGTTAGGTGTGCTACCCCCGCCAGGCTTTCTTGTTATATGATTTGAACTTTGACTACGACGCTGTATATGTAGACGTCGGTACCTTTGGAGCCCTTTGGTAGATCCCGCTCACCGGTCCTCTTCCGCTGGGGGTGCGTCGTTCCTTTGAGCCGCTGACCCTGGCCGTTTGGCTCAGTGTGTGGGAGGCCTACCTGAACCCTGCCAAAAGGAGCCCCTGGGTTCCGCTGGTAGTGTCGTATGTCGCTGCTGCTACCACCTGAAAGGGTCCCTGCGCCGGCAGCCGGTCTCACATGAGCTCGGTGAATGCTGAGAGGCGCCCGGAGCCCGCGAGCGCACCCGTTCCGCTTCCGCCACCGGTCCAAATCAATGGTCGGTAATGAAGTGTGAAAGGGCGGCGCACACTGCAGGAAGCGTGCACAAAGCCCCGTCGCCCCGGGGGCCATTTTTTGCTCGGGTCACGCCGGCGGCAGTTCGCCGTTCCACAGAGCCGTTTTGCGCCGTCGCGCTCACGCAGACCGACGAAAGGAACAACTTTCTTGGGGGATTTCAACACCGGCTTCTCGGGTGACCGGCGGAGGACGCCGGTGTTTTCACGGCCGTCGAGAGGACCTTGTAAAAACGGCCGGGCCCACGCGCTGAGGCGCTCTCAATTGGCGGCCATCGACGATCGGCGGCGTCCTCTTGAAGCGGCGCCGCGGCACAATCGTCCACGGCCGACCGGCGGAGGGACCGGAGAGCTGTGTGGGGCGCCTTTGTGCCGCTGTCTGCACACAGAGGCCTCTCCTCACTTTATGGCCGTCCCAGACACGCATAGGGCCGGTCAGCAGAGGTACACACACAGGGGGTTCCTCCGGGGTGGGGAAGGTTAGAAGGGGCTGCCCGGTCCCATGGGTAGTGGACCACTGCCAGATCGTGCCATAACTCCTGGGTTAACAACATGAGCCTGCCACTCAGTACAATACGGACAGATGTCAGAGAAAGGTGTCTTTCGAGTATAGCACATCAACGCCAGTTTTATGATCTTTGCCATTCAATGGTAGGAATCGACTTCAAGACTTGAGTCATTGTTTGCATGCATTGTAAATCAACTTCAGTTAATTGTCTGACCATTAATCTGACTGTCTGGATCGCACTTATCCACTCACACACTCACTCACTGATTCACTCACTCACTCACTCACTCACTCATTCATTCACTCACTGTTGCCACTATATCCAGCCATCGATAAGAAACAAGTCCCTATCGGCCTTGATCGCGGCCTTGCACGGAGTTCAAAACATCTCATCTTGTCGCCGAGTCTGTCCACTTATACATTCCCTCCAAGTCTCTCTGCGCGCTTGAGCGATCTGCCCAAAGTGCTCAGTGGTCAGTTGACGAACTCTGAGCTATGCAATCCCTATGCATATTCCTTGCCATCGATGCGCTGACCTGCTCAACAGCAGAAATGCAGTTCAAGACAGCAAGAGAGCACCTCGATATCTAGTGCCGGAGGAGTGAATTGATCACTATTATCGCTGACACTGCGCTAGCGTAAGGTTTGAAGAGTGTGATTGGTGTTATTACTGAAGATAGATTAGATAACTTCTGGAGACCAAGTGAGACATTAACTGACAGCACAAATGGTTAAAGCTTAGACCTGGAGACCATACTCTGATCATGTCTGCTCTCCACGAGCCAGCGCGCGTAGCGCTCCGATCACCTGAAATCCCTTTTGAAAACAACAGCGGGCACATACCTCCGCTGCCGGCGGGCCCGAGGGTCGCCCCGGCCGATTGATAGCACGTCCCCGGTACGACAGCGCCCACCCCGTAAACATCATTGTCGGCCGCGCATGGGCCGGCTAAGTGTCTCACATTAGCGGAGAAGGGCGCATTGCGTCTCCCGGCTCACGGGCCGACGACTCGGAGAGGTAGTTTGACTGCTCCCCGCTCCGATAAAGGGTTGTAATTGGTCCCGGGCGAGCAATAAAGGCCACTGCGGGCCGCACGCTGGCGGAAATCATGGTCATAGACACAGCTACAAACTCTTATTGGGGTGATCAGGGTGGTCCCTTGGGCGACACGCCGGCCCGCTGTATGTTATCACCGAGTGAACCTACCGCAGTTTGACGGTCGCTGTCAGTCATCCATTGTTTTGGTGAATTTGTCTCCGGCCCTGTGTCTGCGCTGTGTTTACTTTCTCAATTTCGTTCCAGTTGTAATCTCGGACGACCCCACTTGCGTCAAGAGTCACTCACCGCCGGAAAGTGGCCTCTCTGTCTCTCTGTCTGTCTGTCAGTCTGTCTGTCTGTCTGTCTGTCTGTCTGTCTGTCTGTCTGTCTGCCTCTCTCTCTCTCTCTCTTTCTCTCTCTCTCTCTTTCTCTCTCTCTCTCTCTCTCTCTCTCTCTCTCTCTCTCTCTCTCTCTCTCTCTCTCTCTCTCTCTCTCTCCCTCTCTCTCTCTCCCTCTTTCTCTCTCTTCTCCCTCTCACTACCGCCGTCTCTTTCAGCGACATCTCTGGATCGTCATTAGACCTTGGAGGACCGACGGGAGGCGCCGCTCCAGCCGCCTTTGAGATGCGCGCTGCGTCGGCGACATTACGTCAAAGCCTGTGGCTTGATGTCCAGCCAGATACAGGGCCGTGGAGACGGCCTCCAGACGAATGGGGCCGCCACCGAACCGACCAGCTATCCACCATCTCGGGTCACGTGACCGGCCGGCTATCACCCATCAGAGGTCACGTGACCGGTCGGCTACTATCTCGCATCTCCAGACGACGGAGCAGCTAGTCTGCTTTCTCGTGGTCCTGACGGTAGGTACTGTGTGTAATATGCATGTCGAAAGTTTCTCCAAAGTCGTTTCATGTTATAGTAAATACAGACGGGCGTGTCCTTGCATTATCTTTTTTGTTAGGCATTTTCTGTTGTTGTTTTTTTCAGCGGTCACCGTTGCTCATGCTTAGGGCACAATCAATTAAGCTGTAAGTCCCGATTCATAATCATCATGCTCTAGGACACACCACCAATATTAGAACGGATTTGGGAGAGGGGAAAGGAGAACAGGGGCATCACGACACAATCCGACCGATTACGCATACAATGCTCATTCCCGGTGCATACCGCGTTTGCTCAGTGCCGCGGGAAGGCTGCACGACTGCGAACCCATTACCGGGTGCGGCCATCTGGACGGCGCAGCGGGACTGTCTATGTTGCAGACGAAGGGCGGGGACGGGGTCTACTGGGACGCAGGAGCTCACTGGGACAGTTACCGGGGAGGGTCAGAGGTGCCGCCGATGTAATGACAGTCGCCCGGCCCCGTTCGGCCCACCCGCCACCGGATATGCGTCATTCAGCCTATTGAGCAGGCCCGGAGCGAGGTCAGGGGCTTCGACTGTTCTGCGACTCCCACAGTGAGCACAGGAAGGCTCGGCTGCGTCCCGGCGACGGCGCTGGAACAATTTGGAACAATTTGGGGCTGATGTCAGATGTCGCAGTGTTTTAGACCGTTTATAGGTCTTGTGGGTGCATTTACGTCAAGTGTTTTGATGATTGCCGTGGATGTGCGAAGGTATGCTGCATGTATGTAATGCTAGACATACAAACATGTTTCGTGAATGAATGCCGCATGACAGCTAATCCCTTGTCATCCTCCATTGAAGAGAAATGCCCGTCATTTTCCACAGATGTCCGCGGATTCACCCGGCGCGCCACATTCCTGTTCGGGGGGAGCCGTACATTCCTGGCGCTTTCCGACGCATCGAGCGAGCTTCCAGAGCACAAAGAGCTCCCGACGGCAGCCTTTTTGACAGCGGGCACCTGCGCGACGGAGACGGCGCGGTGCCACGCATTGTGGCGCGCCCGGCGGCGATTGTGGCGCGCCGTTTTCCCAGCGGCGCCGCGCCCCGTTTCCGCTGCTATTATGCCGCGGGCCGCGGCGGGGGCCTGGTCGGCTCGGTTGCACGCTGTGTGAAGTCCAGGTGAAAAACGCAAGGGAGAAGGCTCATGCTGAAAAAGAGGCGAATTCCGCTGTTGTGGTGGGCTTCAGTGGTGTATGCTGGTGTGCGCCCCTGTCGTGTGGGAAGAGGTTTTGAACAAGCATTTGGTGTGTTTTGAAATGTCTGAGGAGCGTGGGAGACATTAATATGGCGGAAATTGCTAATCAGTGTCCAGCTTAGGATCAGTGATAATTAATCTTGCATTATTTTTATGAGCCAATCGTGAGGTTGTTAGAATTACATCTGTGGATTTATCTGAATGCTTGTGGTTTTGCAAATCGCCTGGCCTGGTGGCACAATTGAAAAACGCCAGTTTTACGCCACTTTCATAAGTGGATACTACTTAGTACTTACCGACCATACAACCAAGCTCTACAAGAAAGGTTACGAATTCATTATTTTACGATGCATTTTAACAAATATTCATAACAAATGCTCCCAACATAGGTTTCCACAAAAAAATATAGCGCAGCTATAATGCGGGAATCGTTGCTTTCTTGTAGCAATTAGATAAGAAAATGTTAAGTATTGATTGAGTTTTTTCCGCTCGCCTGTGCTGGCACATGCTTGTATCTTAAATCTTTTCTTTTCCCTGTTCTCTAATTTGTAGGAACACACTACACAGTACACACTACACTTACATACAGCCGTCGTTTTTTTGTGTCTAACCCGTCGCATTACCGGTTCACAACAAAGACATTTTCGACAGCTTTCTACACTGTTTCTACACTTTCTACACTGTTGTACACTGAAAGTGTACAACAGCTGCCCAGATCGCCTTCGTTTGGCTTATATAATCGCTTTAAAATCGTCATATCGCGTCACGACGAGCACTGCGCTGTCTCGTTTACGTTCAGGCAGTACTATCTTATATATCTGCTACTCTTGTTTCTAAACTGATCTGAGTTCTGACAGCAATATCATGACCCCGAGCATCTGCATCAAGCGTCGTGAACTTAACCCCCTCCCCTACCTCGGATTGGCGACCCAGTCGGCCCTACTCGCGGCCCCCTATGACGTCACTGGTGACGTCAGAGGTGAGTCTCGGCGGCTCACCTGGCGCCGTCGTCTGGCTGCCGCTGGTGCGTGTCTGGGGGATCAGCCCGCTGTCTGTTTGCCGCTGTCTGCGCCGCTATCGGACGGAACATCGGACGGATTACCAGCCAGTTGACGGCCGTACGGCGGTTTAAGGGGGCGGGGGGGGGGGGGTACGGTGCTGCTGTCGGGAACATACACCGGACACTGCCGCTTTGCAATCGCGGGTGGTCCTATCGAGATAACTGGAACGTGTGTGGTTTGCTATCCTGGGTGGCGGGTGCAAGGCAAGGGTGCCGCTCATGTTATGTTTGTTAGGTGGATAAAATAGTGCTGCATAAGTGGATAGAGCGTGCGTTCATTTAGAGCTGCCTTGAGTGCATATGCATATATTATGCATGCACATGAACATTGCGCAGCCTAGTGTGGCAGTTCCATGCACTAAAAGCCAGCGGTCACCCAGCAAACGCAAAACTCGAAAAAAAGGTTTCAGTTTTTCAACATCCCGGAATTCAGCGTTATCAGATGAGAAGGAATGTTGTAGTTACGCGCGCTGCTGCGAAACCTGCGTGCATGAGGACATCTACTTGCAGTCGGTGGTCGTGTCACCGTCCTTGCTACCAGGACATTGTCTAAGCCGGTGTTATCAGCTGATAGCACCCTTTGCCAAGTGCTAAGACTCCTGGGTGGCAGGGGCGGTACCATCTTGGAGGGCGGGTCCAACCCTCGTTAATCCATGTCAAGCAGAGCACTCTGACAGGTGAGTCAATGTCATGACATTGTCACCCATCGCGGGCCTCTTATCACGTTACAGCCTTACAGTGTCCAACCGGACGGTCTAAAACTGCAGACATCAATTATGTCATTAGCGCACGGATTTCCTATTCGAGTTCTGGCGAATGGCGACTTTCCTGGTCGGCAGTTGGTCACCGCTGTTGTAACTCTGGGAATGAAACCGCCCCTGGAGATCGAGCACTGGCTCAAACTGGTATCTGAGAGAATGACGTCACGCGACGGACAGGATTAAATGTCGCGGGTTATGCGCTTCTACTGGCATACTAAATATATAGACACGACGGGTTATTTATATGGCTAGCTGATGCAATATGATAGTTTACTCTCACGCTCCCATGTGTGATTCATTTTCACCTACTGTATGTATTTTTATGTTAAACATTTATATACATTTGCCCAATTCAGTCGGTGATAAGCGTTAGATCAAGTTGACTGCCAATAATTTTGACCCGCACACGACAAAGTTGCGCCGAAAGCAGAACCACACCTCCCCTGCAGCGTCGTTCCCCTCCTGCGTCGTTCCCCTCCTGCCCCACTCGACTCGTCGGTCCCCTCCCGGCTGTTCCCCACTTCCCACCTGCCCCGTTGCCCCACCTGACGCCGTTCACCGTCGCCCTCAGCCGGCTCCTTGTTTGTCTGTCTGTCTGGAGTGTCAATAAGCCACCACGACCGCAACGGGCGCCCCACGCGCCATCGGCACCTCCAATAAATATGTCACCATCGCTCCACGATGATGATGTTGGCTTTCGACTTTAACAAGCCATTACTTCATCGGTGAATGGGGCAAAAACTCGTAAAGTGCGCGCTGCCTATGGGGACTGTCGGCCCGACACTGGTGCCAACTGCCGTCACACAGTGTCCGCCCAATCAGAGTTCGGTTTACGATCGCGACACGCGGTCTCTAGCCGGTATAGGAGGGTGCTGGGGCCGACTTTGGGACCTCTCCGGGAGCAAAAGGACCGACGGTTCATCTCCCGAAGCACTGCAGAAGCTGGCCACTGTGACGGCCAGTTGGAGTCAACGACACCGACGAAAGCTCTGTTTGGATGAGTGGTCTAGACGGGAAACCGACGAACCCGGCGGTATAGGAGGGCTATCACCCAAGTTGGGATGGGTGGAGATTTTAGGGAGGTCTAAATGGCAACGTTTCGAAACGGAATGATCTTCAGCGTATCAACATTTTACGTGCAGTAGCTTAGCGAAGGGCATTTCCTTTTTCCAAAATACATTTGCTTAATGTATTTGGCATTTTTCTAGCGCGGATCAATAAATGCATTTTGCTTCTGTGCATGTCTGCTTTTCGCTCAAATGCATTGCAAGTCTTTGCAGTCAAGCGTGCGGCGACACTTATGTAACAAGGGAGACGCTGCCCCTGGGACACCCCAGAGTAAAGTTGTTTTTCAGCGCTCATCAGCTCACTTGAGACCCATCTCCGAAACGTCTGTTGATTTTTCACGGTAACGGAAAAGTGTCGTTCATCCCTGGTTTGTATACGATCGTTACGCTTCAACGGTTTTTGTATACACCCTCCACAGAAAAACCTGGTTTGCAAGCTGGTTAACTTATAAACGTTGGTGACAGCTGCGTGTCGTACGCTGACATATCGTAAAAACACTGGCCGAAGGAAAAACATGGGAGACCTGAGCTCTTCAATAATGCTAATTACCTCGCACCCACAGTGGTACGAAATGATTTAAACTATTTTGCAGTTACAAAAAAAAAACTTTTAAACTACAGGTGGTCAAGTGCATGGATAACAATTTATTACTTACAGCATTCAATTATCTAAATCGTATAAGGCAAACAGCAGTAAGGGCACATCAATGCACACACCAGTTTAAACCAGATGCGATTCATAGTTGCCCGGGTCAATTCAACAACGAAAAGCTCAAATGTTTGCATAACGGAGGCACCAACCACCATGCCCTCATAAACACTGCATCACTGTCGCGTGTCTTAAGGACCACCGATTACACAACTGGCTCGCGAGACAGGCATGACCCCCGTGACCCTGGCACTCTGGGGGGGAGGGGAGTGACCCCTGGACCCATCTCGGCCAGACGGAAGTCCAGTGGGCTCCGCTGGACCCAGGGTCCTCACACTGGCGCGTCACCCAGGGTCGAATCGTCGAGATATGAGCCAGACCCGAGCAGCACAGACACCCAGACAGGGCACTTTTTGCCGGCGACAAATCCAAATATTTGGCGTCATCGAATGCCTGGAGTGCTGGATTGATATGAGGCTCAGTGAAGCTGGTGTCTTTCAAGAATGGGTGAATTGGTACGATAGTGGCGTGCAACAGTCCTAACCCGTTCCGATGGAAGATTTATCGCTCGACAATTTTGCAGCTTATCTGAGGCATTAGCTGCAAAGTTGTCGTGGTCTGTAGTGAAAATGGACACGTCAACCGTGCCGCATTTCAACCATAGCATAATACACAAATACATGGCCTTTAACAACATTGTCATGTTTTCCGAGGTAGGTGTACGAATCAGAATTCGTGTGAAGCTGTGGATCCAATAAAACATCAGTCAAGTTTGGCAAGAATTGATGACAGTTTGCAAACGTTACGCACGTTGGGGATGAAGCTGAGTGCGTAAGCTGCGTATAGCTCACACCACTGAAACCTTGAAACCTTGAAGAAAAAAAATGTACGAGTAGTGTCTCAATGTGAGCTGATGTGAATGGGACCATAGTCCATCGCGGACCTATGTGTAACTCCCAGACCATCCTACAGATGGCACCACCGGACGGCGACGAGTCGTTACGATACGACGGGAAGGCTGAGCCTCTCGCAACGTCCGTGGATGCTCCCGTTTGGCTTTGTGTTACTGCTCACTTTAAAAAAAATGTGTCTACATGACAAGCAGTTCAGCTGATATTTAGAGACGTTTTCTCTGACTGTTGAGGCCGAATGACAGTGACACAATGCACGAAATAAACGCTTATTATGCCTCTTGCTTTTAAGTTTTTCCTTTAGCACATTTATTTACTCACAAAGAAGAATAATGGCAACAAATATCTACGATGCATCTTCTGTTTATTACCGCTCTCATCACTAGCGTCAATCATTATTTCAAATTGTGTGGCAGGTTACAATGTATCGTATCACATGCAATGCATCACTCGGCAGGGAGCAGTGTTGTTTTATGTGGAATTGATCGGCTAATTTAGCTTCGCAATTGCCGATTGGCACACGATTTTCTGTCGTTCTTTAACTGCAAGGCACCACACGACGCCGTTTCCAACACATCCGATGGGGCATAAAACAAACAGAGCCGGACAATAAATGCTACCGGTAAATCGTGTGTATAACAGACGGAAAATCTATGGTGCCACCAGAATGGTTCGTTTTGGTGCAACGTATGGCTGACATCTTTCTGCATTAGCGTCTCGCTGCAGGTTTGGGCTGTGGACAGACGGATAGACGGATAGACGGACAGACGGACAGACGGACAGACGGACAGACGGACAGACGGACAGACGGATAGACGGATAGACGGATAAACGGACAGACAGACAGACAGACAGACAGACAGACAGACAGACAGACAGACAGACAGACAGACAGACAGACAGACAGACAGACAGACAGACAGACAGACAGGCAAACAGGCAGACAGACAGACAGACAGACAGACAGACAG